ATGAAGAACACTGCCACACTTGGTTTTAACAGATGGTAATAAAATACATACTTCTGGTTACATCTTGCATTGCAACCCAAGACAAATGGGCTCCTGTCCTCCTGCCACGATGCACCATGAACACACAGCACATGGATCAGATCTACTTTTCACAGCTCCTGAAGACACATGCAACTAAGCCTAGAGCCAGACCCCTCCATGCCCTGAGCAACAGTATCTGAGACATGGCCAAGGTGCTTCTTTTGTGTTGGAGAGACTCATGGTACTGCCCAGAGCAGGACACAGAAAGGATTTGAGCCCCAGGAGCAGACTGCACATCCTCTTGTGGTGATTTTTCTCTGAGGGGATTCTGTATCACCAATTGAGAGAAGCAGCAGCAATGGGGATATAAGCCTGAAATATGTGGATCAAACTTTCTCTCTTGGCATCAGGAGAAATATTACTGCTCCTCCAGATCTGCTGCTGGGTCTTAAGACCAGCAGACACAACCCACATCTGTTCTGGAGGTCCCACAGGCCAAAACATCTCCTGGAAAAGCAGTCTCCCTGCAAAACTGTGAAGAGACTGCAAACCAAAGAGGCCACACCTAAGAAGGGGCATTTTTGCAGTCTACTGGGGGAGTCTGGGTGTCCTGTTTTCACTACATGTCCAGCATCAGCCTCACAGCCTGTCCTGACACCACCTTGCCACCATGTGTTGAGCTCCTGGGTTCCTCTTTGCTCTTGAGAAAACCCACTGCAGCCCTGGGACGTTTGGGAGGCTATTGCAAATTTTCCCATTGGATTAAAAGCATGAATGCTGCAATGAGAGATGAGTCAAAGTGTAACCTAGCCTGCTGCATGGATTTTTGTAGTTAATCCACCTCACCCTCTGTGTTGCAAAACACAGGGGCTGTGGCTTCAAAGACATCACTTAACTAGATACTGGCCAAGGTACTGATAAGCCATCACCATCTCCACAGGTAGTTTTGGATGACCAAAGGGGATCCCACAGCATCCCATCTTTCCTTGCAGGAAGGATCTTTTTAAAGATCTTTTTTAAAAGATCTTTTAAAGATCTTTTAAACAGAACAGTTAAACACTTCTCCACAGCCAATGCTGGCCAGATACAAGTTGCCAGCTGCCAGATATGCCCATGAATGCTGCAGATTCTCTTCAGTAATTAAATCACTTGGGTTTTTTTTAGCAGAAATGCAGCCCACAGCTTCAATCAGCACCCCCCAGTACTGTTCCTGACTTTCTAATTCAGGTTTCTCTGGGATATTCGGCTGTCTGCTGAGGATTGTCATACAAAGGGTGCTTGCCTTTTAGCACTGTAGAAAGAGGCTGCAGATTTGTCCAAAACCTCCATAAAGCTATGCTTTCCTATAGGTGGGATTCTGGGAAGCAGGCCACCGCTAGACTCTCTTCAGCACCGTATCAGAGACCTGTGGTGACTCAGGCATTGCCCATCCAGCAAACTCTCTAAAAAGAACCTTTTCAGAAAAGCCTCCCAGTCAGGCATCCAGTCACTCTTCTTACTCCAAGAACTTTTGCAGGGGCACGTTTTGGTTTCACCCAGATCTACCGAGTGATGTGGACTTTCTCCTTTCCAATCCTCTTCTCCTCACTCCTTTTTGTGACCCATCACCTCAGGTGAATGGGTCCCTCTGGCACGTGGTATACTCTGCCCTTAGGGGGATAATTTGCTGCTTCCAGGCATCACGGAGGGGCAGAAAGAAGACTGGAGCAGCCACTTCCTCCCTCAAAAAAGGAAGAACCCACCCTCAATTTCATACACAGAATGCATCTCGGGTTGGTGCCTTGGTAGAAGCCACCATGGCCCTCTGTGTGGATAGAGTGGCTTGCATCCCTCTACCCCAGGGGTGCTATTTCGATGTGTTTCCCCACTGTGCATTTCACACAAAGCCTTCCAAGACGTGGGCAGTGCCTCTTTCTGCTTCAGTGTTCTGCTGCCTGACCCTGCTGCAGCAACACGGTGCTGGCTTGGGAGCCATTACCTCTGCCCCAAGTGCCCAGAGAGGGGCAGCTCCACTCCTTCCTCTCTGCAGCTGACCTTAGATCCCTTTTAGCTCCCTGAGCTTCCCTGTCAGTGCCAGAAGTCTTGCAGTAATCCCAGTGTGATCCCTGGAAACCCTGCTGCCTGTGCAGGTGCCTGTTGAGTACCAACCTGCCCAGCAGCTCTTGCTCACACCACATCCCTGCCAGATTTTCCCTTCTGTTTCCCCAGGTGTGGCTGCTTTTTGTTTACAGTCCCTTGCCACGGGGTTATTAGTTATCTCATATTAGCAAGTAACTTGTTTTTGCTTGCTGTGTTTGCTTTTGCGCCGGGCAAACAGCAATCAGGATGTTTTACATGAGGTCCCTCTCAGGAGCACTCCATCTCAGGAACGCCCAGACCAGCTGATAAGACAGGCTACAAGCCACGGCGTGGCTTCTTAGATCAGCTAGAGTCTGCAAATAAATTCTGGAGCACCTCAGAAAGTTAGCATGAAGCAGAAGATCGTGACCAGCTTCAGACTTGATGCTGGAAGGACCAAAACTGGAAGTGGAAGTGGAACGTCTCAGAGAAAAACATGGTATCACAGCAATCTGGAAACACAACAAAAAAATTCCTTCAGCGACACTAACTCAATGACGCTGCAGAATAGTGTTTTCTATTCCTGTTTTTCTTGGTAAGGGTAGTTTGCACCTGTAAGACACTAGAAAAGCGATGTATTAAGGCTTGTGCACAAGGAGTCTGCCGTGGGTGCGCCTGGAACCTGGAAGAAGCTCCTAATGCCTGCCACACATAAAGGAGCATTTGGCGAGCTGGGCTCCTGTCTCCCTGCCCCTGGCCACTGCCTGTCATTTGCCATGGCTCTGCCAGAGTCCCTGCCAGCCTCTCCACCCAGGGCACCCACACAGGCACTTCTGAGAAGACGCTGCCGTGCTGATCTTCCTCCGGTCACTGTTATCTCCGCGCCGGGGTCCTGTTCTGGGAGGTGACGAAAATGCCATTCCAGGGAGTCAGCATTTAAAGTGGGTCGTTAGACAGAAACGTCACCGTGTCTTTGCTAAAGATAGCCCGGTGCTGAGTAAAACGGCGCCTCCAAAACCTTCATTTCACAACCTGCTCGCTCAGCATAATAAGCCCTCGGCCCCAAATGCCCGGCAGTGCCTGTCAATTTCCCGGGCTGTCCATCAGTCCCTTGGGACCGCTGCTCGGGGGAGCGGCTGCAGGATGGAAGCACATCCTCTCCTTTGCTGCTCCTTACAAGAGACAAGCGTTTCCCAGAGCACACATCCCACTAAGGATGGTTTGGGGGGCGACAGGGGCACAGTGCCAGGGTGCCAAGGCTAGTCGTGCAGGCAGGGTTGAAATGAAGGGGGAGAGCAGCGAGCTCGGTGTGTCCCCCGAAATAAGGCAGGAGAAGGGGAGCAGAGGGTGCTGGACTGTGGAGTTGTACGTGCCTCCCCACCACAGTTCCATCTCTCTCTCTCTCTCTCTCTCTCTCTCTCTCTCTCTCATCTTCACCCACACACTCACACCATTCTTGCGCTGCTGATTCAAGGGAAAGAGAGGTTGATGTTTTCTGCTTGAGCTGGTCACCACAAACTGTTTTTCTTCAACAGGAGGAAAAAACACCTCCTGACAACTGTCACAAGTTCTCCCCCATCTTCGCTTGTCTCTTCCTCTCTCATGCAATCCCCTGGGCTGTGTCACACAAGGGGGGGGCATGAAGGACCACTACAGAGCAGTCCCTCAAGGGCATGGAGGCACACACAAAGTTGCACCTGTACATCAGTCCCACTACTCAGGAAGCTGAAAAGCCATGTGGGATGAAAGACCTGAGAGCTGTCCCTACAACAGAGGTCTGCTGAAGGGAAGCATAGCACTGGCTTTTATTCTCCACCTTCACCACACAGCTGAGGAAGACTAGAGAGCAAGAAAGAATTCCTTCTACAGTCAAGAAGTGGCCACTATGAGTCACCTCCCTTCCCTCAGCCTCAGAAAAAGCCCAAGCCCTTGGTGGGTGAGCCACTGAGGGGCTTGGGTGTCTTCATGACACCTGTCACGAAGGGCTGATAAGTCCAAAAGAGTCAGAGCCAGTGGGTTGCTGGAAACTGTGAACCACAACAGTGGGGGTTCTCTGAGACAAGAAGGGGGCCCAGGATGAGGCACATGGATGGAAATGTATTGCCCTGTGCAAAGGTCAGCAGCTGCATGGGGGTTAGGACATGAGCTGCATGGGGGTTAGGACATGAGTGTGTTCCCCCCAGAGCTGCTGGAGCAGAAGGGTTCTTTCCTCAGAGTGCCACAGAGTGCCACAGCATGCAGCCCCTCTTTGCAGTGCTTATTTTTTCTCTCTGAATGCTCCCCTTGGTCTCCTTGGACCACCTCAGCTGTGTCCCATACTAGCCCTGGACTCTAGATCGATGAGTTACATGTGTCCTGGTTGAATCTTAGCATAGACCCTTTCCTCATGCTGCCTGTGAACTGACCAATGAGAAAAAGCCAAGAAATCAGCAAATTTGAAAGACTAAAGAAGGAAAAAAATATATAATAATAATAAAAAAAAAAAAAAAAAAAGAAGAAAAAAAAAGAAAAGAAAGAACAGCAGAAAAAAAGACCAACATGTTCTCAAAAGCCCTGAAAGAATTAGAGAGAATCTGTAAGAGACGGGAAGATCAAACCAAAAAAGGTAAGAGATGAAAGAAAAACATGAAGGGTACTTGCTGGGAAGTGTCTTCTGCACTTTTTCCACTGGCTATATAGAAGCGAAATTTGTGAGAAAAACAACAGCGACCCAAAGAATTTCCACTAAAAGATGCTTAGAGCAGTGTCTCTGGTCCCTCCCTCCTCTGCCCTCACGTGCCTCAGACTTGTACTGGTTTCTTGGTCGTGACGCATCTTCTTAGTGATATGAGGAAATTTGCTGCCCACTTGCAATATAAAGGCATTTAGGGAAATGCTTTGATCAGAGAGAGAGAGAGAGGGAGAGCATGACAGCAAGCACATCCCACTGACCCCTCTGTTCTCACCCACCCTCTCTAACAAGATTCTTTGCCCATGCCTCATTTTTGCTGATCTCTTCAAGCTTTGGACCTCATTAAGCACAGACCTGAGTGAGAAGCAGCCCCTCTCCTGGATGCCACCATGAGACTGGTGTCCCTGGTGCTGTTCCTCACCTTCACCCTGCTGCCTTTCACTGGTAAGAGGGGCTGAACGTATGGGGAGGGCAGAGTAGCTCAGCAATCTGAGTCTGGGTGTTACCTGATCCCTGGAAAGGCTGGAAGGGAGAATTCCTGCCCTTACAACTCCACAGAAGGTGGCCAGATACGCTGTATTCTAACCCACCCTGGCAAAGACGGCATCCCCACCCCAGAGTGGGGTAACACTGAATCTTTGCTCAGCTCTCCATCTTGTTACAGCTGGCCACATCCTACTGGGATTATCGGAGGGAAGGAGCAGGGAGCAGAAGGTGTGGGTCAGAGAGGGGAGTTCAGCTGTGCTGCCATGCCATTTGAGCCCCAGAAAGATGAGGGAGACCTCCAAGCAGCTGCCTGACAAGATATCTGTGCTGTGGAAGCGGCATGGGGGAAGGTATGCCAGGGCCAAAAGAGATACGAGTCCTTCTGGGGGAATTGGGGGGTTGGAGGCCCTTTGAGCCCTTTTCCTCATTCCCCATATTCCCTCCTTCCTGCTCCCTCCCTCGATCTCACGTTTGCCTCTGGCATGAGCCGCTCACTTGTCCTGCTTGCAGTGTGCACCAGGAGCCGCACGTGGTGCTGGAAGTTGGCTACTCGGGCCTCCAGAAGACAGCACTGCTCATGAAGCCCCGGGTGTCCCTCCAGGACCCCGCCTTACGCAATGGCAATTTCTCCCTGCGGATCGTCCCCGTCCGGAGCGAGGACGTTGGGCTGTATGAGGCACAGGTGAAATATAAGACAGAAGTCCACAGCTGCCACGTGGAGCTGGGGGTGATCACAGGTAGGAGAGGATGGAAAACCTGCGGAATGTTGATTTTAGGAGCGGGGGGTTTGTAAAGGTGGGATAGGGCGGGGATGCCGTGTTTGGCAGGGCAGGTGAGAGTACAGGCAGCGCCCTCTGGAAAGTGCATATTCCTGCTGTCTGCCCTCAGCTCTGAAGGGACAAGGTTAGGATAGTGCAGGCACAAAGGGCTGGTTTGGTAGCTCCCCTATGTCCTTAGCTCACCCCCCAAGCCAAAATCTTCTTTTTGCAGTAACCCTCATTCCACCCAATCCTGTGATGGAAAATGAGCTGCTCTTGATGAGCTGCAACTCCAGCCACCAGGCCAGCCTTGTGGAGACTTGCTGGTTCCACAGCGAGCAGCCAGGCCGCACCTCCAGGACCTTCTGCTCCTTGTCCGGGACTCTCTCCATCCTCCATCCAGCCATGAGCGATGCGGGCTCCTGGTGCTGCCAGCTTCGGTACTCTGATAAGGAGATCGTTTCTGCCACATTCGACCTGCAAATTCTAGGTGAGCTCAACCTCTGATAACCCAGCACCCCCAGGCTGATCCCTTTGATGTGACTGACTAATCCCAGTGACCCCAGCTTCCCAGCTTCCACCTTGTCCTCACTTCCTAGGTCTGTCACCTCTCTGAGGAGCTCTCTCCAGGCACCATCTCACATTGTCTTCTTTCCCTGGCTCAGGTTTTGATGGCCCAACCAGCCCTGTGGTCTACGCAGCAGCTGGCTCTGCAGCTGATCTACCGTGCAGCCTGAGCTACCTTCCCAGCGCCTTTGGGATGACTGTGGTGGCAGCCCACTGGAGCCACCTTGCAGGAGGACATCTGCAGGACTGGGGCATCTCCCAGAATCTGAGCAGCAGAAGCTTCCCCCTGCATCTCCCCGTGGTGGGGCCGGGCGATGCAGGGCAGTACCGCTGCACTGTCTCTGTGGGACACAGGACAATCAGCAGGGACGTCACCTTGGCCGTGGTTACAGGTGAGAGGAGAACCTGGGAGGTGCTTCACCCCTCTGGGGTCCCTCAGTGCAGATAAACCTCCCTACCTGTCTGTGCAATGGTCATGGGCTCCCACCCCAAGGCAGGAAACAAGATCTCTGTTTGGGGCATTGCACTGCACTGGACTCTGCAGGAATCAGGGGTTTTCCTGGGTGACTTGATTGTTCCTCTTAAAAATGAGAAAGACAAAGAAAATAATTTAGAGGAAGTAATAGAGATGCAATAGAAGAAGGATGGATGAGGAAGAGATGTGGACATGCCTGTAGTCCTTCCTGAGGTTACTTTTTTCCCTTTGCCACAGTGACTCCAAGCATCCAAGGACCTGTTTCTGAGGGGAGTCATTTGCTGCTCATCTGCAGCCTCACTCACTCCCAGGGACATGAACATTTCCAGTGGAAGCACCTTGACCCAGCCCCCACTAAGAGCAAGCTGGCTGTGGCTACTTCCCATAACTTGGAGGGCCACAGTTCACGGGTGGGACCTACCTTGGAAATACCTCAAGTGTCACAAAAGGACACAGGCACCTGGGAATGCAGTGTGTATGGCCCAGAAGGCAGACTGGGAGCAGTGGAGTATGACCTGCAGATCACAGGTACTGTCCCCCATGGGTCTGCAAACAACCTCTTCTTCTCACCCTACTTATCTCTCTTTCAGCCTCATCCTGTCCTTCTCCCCTTGGATCCCATCTTCTTCTCATCCTCTCTTACCTTTCACCAGATCCTCATGCTGCTCCTTCCAGTTCCCTGCACTCTTTCCTATTTTGCCTGTTGTTGTGCAGTCCCACCCTTTCCCCAGTACAAAATCAACCATCCCTTCCTTCCTAACTGTGGTTCCTCCTCACAGGTGCCCAGGTCTCCAGCGCTCCCTCTATCTTAAGTGGGCAGATTACTTTTGGGCTCACATTCACCATTTTCTTCCTGCTTGCCGTTTGTGTTGTGGCTCTGGCCCTGCAAAAAAGGGTAGGTGTCCATCACCCCATTCCTGTTATTTTTTCCTGCGCATCCACCCTAATTTGACCTTTATTTCTTTGACCTTATAGCTCCAGAGACAGCAGGGAAAGGTCCTGGGGACACAGTGGCCAGAGGAGGTATGGGGCTGGAGCAACCTGCTGACAGTGTCATGGACACACAGGGACAGCTGTACCCTGGGCATTGGCAGGTCTGGCTAATCATGGCATTCCTCTGAGGACAGGTCAGACACCTCAGAGAAGGAAGAAAACCTCCTAAGGGACAATCACAGCCCGGCTTTGAAAAGCTTCATGTTTATTCCCACAGAGATCAAGCCATGCAGTAGCAGAGGAGGGCTAATTGCCAGGCTTTTGTAGATGTCCCCTCTCTCATTCCTTATCCGGATGCTTTAATGTAACCATCTCCTGCTCTGTATCAGTGCCTGCTGGTGCCCAGACATCGATATTGATGCGGGGCTGTTGTTTCTGGCTCAGCCCTCACACCTCAGTGCTCAGCCTCTGGCAACTTAATGCCCTTCATTTACTCAGCTTGTTCCAGTATCTTGTCCTCTGAAAACTCTACCTTGTACCTTGCCTTTTTGATTCCCAAGACCAGGCCAGGACTAATCCTTCCCCAGCACATCACTGGAGAAAACTGTGCAAACAAGTCAGACCGTTTCTCTGCAGTTCTCATATTATTGCTCTGCAAATTAATAACATGGCAAAATCATCCTTCAGGGTTTCCTTTTGCAGACAAGGGACACCTTTTGGGGGTAGCTGTGATGCAGCTGCCTCCTACTTAGCCTTACAGAAAGGGCCCACAACAACAATTCTAGTGGGGAACAGGCTGGGCAATCAGAGCAAGGTAAGTTTGGAAGAGCTTACCCTGGTGAAAGAGCTGGGAGCCTTGAAACTGCCTTGAGCTGAAGACGAGGGATGTGACAAAATTGATGAAAAGTCTTAGCAAGTCCCAGTGGCTGGAGACTGAAGGCTGGCAGCATCACAAAAGAAGCAAGGTGGAAATTTTTTAAAAAACCACTGTGGGTAGTGCAAGGGCAGCTCATGACAGGTTCTTTGTCATCCATCCTTAATCAGCACTGATGGTAAAGGACAATATGAGGCAGAAATCTACAATTTCCGTGAGTCTGAAGTGTGCAAGTCCAGGTGATCAGAACCAACCTTTCTGGCCCAAAACCTTGGACTGGAATCCCTTGAGTGTACCTGTAAAGCCTCAGCTAGCAGGAAATAGGACACCTGGATGACCAGCTGTTTGCTTCAACAGCTCTCATCCCACCAGGATATTCACCACCCCAAAGCATTTGCATGTGCCCCCATGGCCCTGCTGTGCTGAGCAAGCCAGGCTCCCGTGTGGCAGCACAGGTCCTCTATCCATGGGTGTTCCTCCACCGGCTCTGGCTGGCCCTGCTTTAGCAGGAAGGTTGGACTGGATCATCTCCAAAGCTCCTTCCAACCCCAACCACCCTCTGATTCTGTGATTCACACCCTTCTCTGCACAGGCTCCCTGCTGGGCTCGTCCTCCGTCAGAGTGCAGATGAGGTGCCTCGGGCAGAGATATCAGCTCTTCGCTTGTTCTCTCCCTCTCTCTGCTGGCATCCTCTGAGATTGCATTTGCTGTTCCTGCGCTGGTTGGGAACTGGATGCTCCCCGCGGTGTATCACGCACACCCGATGGGCTGTAGCCCACACATTAGGAATTCCTATTCCAACTCCCTGCTCCTATCAATGTCTGATCAGTAATGTTGCATTTCATTGATCCTCTCATTCAGCTTAATGCTCCCTTCTCCTAAAATAGCTGTGTCTTGCATGATATTCTTATCCTCTTTCTTCCAAATGAGGCTCCTCAACTTTATCAGCTGCCTAACTCATTAGCACTTTCACACTTTCTGTGCCAATAATGACTGGTCTTTGAAGACTTGTGCTTTTCATTTCCCTTCAGCCTGGCAGAAACCTGTCAGCAAGACCCCAGTCCCTTCCTCTTAGCTGAGATCACACCTACCATGCTATTCTCTAACTAATCTCATCCTTCTTGCTGTGCTGTCTGTGTGCAACCCTATACTGCTATCAGGAGCCCTGAGATCTGCCTCTTTTTCTCCCTCTAGAAAGTCACTTGTGATGGTGGTTCTGCCTTTAATCTGTTCTTACCTCATTTTGCACACGCCTTCATGCTTTTATTACCTCTCTCCAAAAGAGTGTTGTAACACTGACATATCATCAAACCTGACATTGCCCAGATCAGAGATCTTTGCTCTCCCTTAGGGATGTCCTGTCTTTGCTATTCCTTATGCCCATGACACCACGGAGGGTCGTGTTGAGCTGGCCCTCCCCAGAAGGAATTGCATGTTGGCAGGGAGAAGCCCAGGCTCGTGCCGTTCAGCCTCTCTCCCGTGTCTGATGTAGCCTCTTGCTTCCCTTGCAGGCACGGGCTCCTGCCTTCCCAGCACTGGAAGGGATGTTTGCAGTCAATGTGCCCTGGAAGCCCATGGAGGAAAACCAGAAAGGGAAGATGCAGCAAACGGAGTGCTGATGGAAGCAGGGGCGTCGGGGCCAGTCTGCGTGGGAGGATGAAACTCTGTGTGCCACGCAGAGAGAGATGGGCAGCATGCAGACCTCTCAGGAGGGTCTAGGGATGGCATGAGCACTGCAGGGGACCTTGGGAGCTCTGTACCTGCAGAGGGGCTGGAAGCTGTAGCCAGGGCAAGGCAAACTCACCACTGCGGTCAGGTGGCCAGCAGCAGAGATGCTTTGGAGCTACTGGGGGTATTTGAGCCAGTAGCTACTGCCTGCTTTGGTGCCACATCTCTGTCCCACTCTCTGCCCCTCCTTCGTGGCCTCTCTCTCAGGCTTTCTCTGGTGGAACACTTGGATGCAGGACATGGCTGGAATCCATCTCCCCTGCAGTCTGACAGTGTTTCTTCCCCCATGCTCACTCTCTTCTCCTCTCTGTCTCCCTGCACTGCCCTGCTCACTTCCCTGTTGCACATTTTGAGCATTTTAACTTATTAGAAACTCGTTTTAGAACTTAAAATAAATTCCTGTGACAAAAAACCCCATTGACCTCTGTGTGTGCTTGTGGAGGATCATGCCTATTTGATGGAGCCAGGTGTACCTCTGCCTGTGTGAAGCCATTTCTAAGGCTTTTGCTGCCTTCTCTTTCTCTTTCAGTTCTGTTTTACTGAAGTTGCCTGTTCGTTTCTGACATTTTCACAGCGGGGAAGGGGAAATTAAATGCCAGTAGAGAAGGAAGAATCACAGGCTCAGTCTCTCCTTTTTGCTGCATTTCAGAGCCTTCTTTTCTTTTTTTCTCCCATCTGACCATCCTTGTTCATTCATTCATTTACTCCTTAAGTCCTCACATTTTCCTGAAAGATCTACAAGTGGTATTATGGCTCTTTGTCACTCTCTTCCTGCTAAGGATGTACTTAGCAATGTAAGCCTGAGTCTGCCAGGCCCTACCTCTCAAGAATGTGTTTAGGTTTCATGCAGTCAGAGAATGCTCTTCACATCTCCTCTGAACAGCCATGGAGGACTGTGGTACTGCTCTTGAACAGCCATAGAATGCCACGCCAGGAGAAACACTTATTAGTAACAAGAGCCATATGTGTGATTTCTCCCATATTGGTTCCCAGGCTGTGGCTGCACTGTGTTCAGGATAGAAGATTCTCTTGAGAGAAGGTCACCACAGCCAGGCCAGATTTTCTGCAGGCACATGAACAGACCTTCTTGCTGTGTGGCTCTCACCTTCCCTCCCCAAGAGGTTCAGGCACTCAGGCAGTGAATGCACTCGGGTATCCTTAGGCTGCAGGTAGTGCAGCGGCACCCAAAAGTCACAACTAGCCCACTCCAGGGAGTCTGGACTCCACAGCTCTTTAGCTACTCAGCTATCCATGTATTTTACTGGAAATGACACCCCTTTCTCCACTGAATCCTAGAGAAGTGCAGCAGAGCTGCGAGACAGACTTGTCTGCTTCAACCATCCCATGCAATTTCAGGCAGACCCTGGAGCAGAACCAGCATAAAGCAAGACAGTCCAGCGTGGTACCAGCATATGCCTAGGCAAATGATAATGCTGCAATTCTTTCTTTCAGGTGAGACTGATCTGTCTAGCTCAATCACCTCTCTCTGCCAGATGCAGGTAGAGAAAAGGTTGGTTAACCCCTGTGGGGCTGAGGGGCAATCCAATATCCATCAGGATCACATCATATTTTCTCAGTGCCTGACAATGGTTTGCTCTCTCTTCTCACACACAATGGGATGCTCTCTCCTCCTGTGGGTAACACTTTCAGCACTGCCTGTTACCAGCCTGGATGTTCTCACTGCTCAGATGTGTGCCTGGTCTGTCTTTAAACCTCCCTCTTTCCTTGTACTCTCTGACTTCCTCTGGCAATCAGTCCTCAGATCTGCTTATTCACTGCATGAAAATGGTTCCTCTCTCAGTTTTCAACTGAAAGCTTTTCATTTTCACCGTTTTCTTTTCTCCCATGACAAAGGCTGGGAAAAGAGAGACTCCCAAATCTATCATACCTTGGATGGCCATTATTTTACCATGTTTCATCACATCCCCTTTTTTGTTATTTTCCCATCCCCTCCTGACTCATTGCCTTTCAGGTACAAATCCCAGGCTTTGGGACTTTCTCTCTGATATTTTGCACAGGCCCATCTCTATGCGTGGTCAGCACTGCTCGGGTCCTTTGCTCTGGAAGAGGAGGCAGCAGCCCAGCAGGGGAGCAGTGCTGGTTTACATGGGGACACAGAGCTTTTCTCTGCATTATTTCCATCCAGCCCTTCAGTGTTTTGTCTGCTCCTCTGAAAGAAGTTCAGCAACACTGAGTTTTTACCCAGCTGTTCACTGTGCCTGTCATGATAGGCAGATGCCTGACATGGTGCAAATACAGTGAGCAAAAGCCTGGAAGTATTTATGCAGTTTAGATTTTCCTTCCTAAAAACTATCCCTATATATAGGAAAGTATTTCCAAATCAAGATGGCACAAGGCAGAGTTGGTAGAGTTGAGGTGGAAGGACCAAGAGTTGTTACAATAAAGCAAACAAATCTGGAAACCTGTTTCAAGTGGAGTCAATAAGTAGAAACTGGGAATAAAGCAAATGACATATGAAGGAAAGAGACCTGACACTTTTCCATAAGGATACATCTACAGGTGCAAAACTCAGATAATATTTTCAACATGCCAGAATGTGGTGGTTTAACCCTGGCTGGGTCAAACCACCAAAGCCACTCCATTACTCCTTTCTCTAACTGGATGTGAGACAGAAAGTATAACAAGGTCTTGTTGGTCCAGATAGGAACAGGGAGAGATCACTCACTGATTATCATCACATCAAAATAGACTCGCCACAGGGAAATTATTTGAATTTATTATCAATCAAATCAAATCAAAGCAGGATGTTGATAAAATAAACCCAAATCTTAAAAGACCTCCATCCCACCCTCCATTCTCCCAAGGCTTAATTTTCTCTACCTTCTTCCCCACAGCAGCACAGGGGGACAGAGAATGGGGGTTGCAGTCCGTTCATGTATTATCCCTGCCACTCCTTCCTCCTCAGAGGAAGGACTCCTCACACTCTCCCCTGCTCCATGGTCCTTCCATGAACTTCTCCAATTTGAGTCCATCCCATAGGCTGCAGTTTTTCACAAACTGCTCCAGCATGGGTCCCCTCTGGGGTCACCAGTCCCACCAGCACACCTGCTCCAGTATGGGCTTCTCTCTCCATGGGGCCACAGGTCCTGCCAGGACTCTGCTCCAGTGCGGGCTTCCCATGAGGTCACAGACTCCATCAGGCATCCACATCCTCCGAGGTCCTCCATGGGCTGCAGGTGAATCTCTGCTCCCCCATGGACCTCCTTGGGCTGCAGGAGGGTGTCCTGCCTCACCATGGTCTGCACCACGGGGCTGCAGGGGAATCTGTGCTCTGGCACCTGGAGCATCTCCTGCCCTTCCTTCTGCACTGACCTTGGTGTCTGCAGGGCTGTTCCTACCACATATCCTCACTTCTCTCTTCTCTGGCTGTTCTCAGCTGTTCATGTTTTTTTCATCCCACTTAACCATGTTATTCCAGAGGCTCTACCACCATCACTGATGGCTCAGGCTTGGCCATCGGCGTCTTGGAGCCAGCTGGCATTGGCTCTGTCAGACATGGGGGAACCTTCTGGCAGATTCTCACAGAAACCAACTCTGTAGCTCCCCAGCTATCTAGACTTTGCCATGAAAACACATTGCACAGTGGATGAAAACTTAGAAAAACCACAGGAAATCCAGTGAATTCCCTTTTAGCAGAGACAAGGACTTAAGGAATGCAAATAAAGTGTTATGCATGCAAATTCCTTTGCCTAGGATTCCTCCAAAAGGAATAGGAAGACAATCTTTAATCCCAAACTAATCTTTTTTTTCGGTAAGAAAGATCAGCATCATTAGAAAAAATCATAACTAGGTCCAGATGTTCTGCAACCCAGACTTCTGAGGGATTTACAGTGAGGGGCTAAATGCTAGCAAATAGCATAATCTGACAAAAGAGCAACAAGAAAAATACATCTATTGTGGTCTTTGTGCATTCTGCACAGCCTTTTAAAAACAGTAGAATGTTAAAACCAGATCTCAAATTATGTAGGCTACTAAAGCACACTGAGTTTTATATTTGCTTGTCAAATTTTTGGGAATAATATCAGCACCAATCCTGCAAAAAAAAAAAAAAAAAATTCCATGACTTAGTACTCTGCTTCTATTTCTTCAACACTTTGATGAATAAACGCAAAATATGTAGGGTTTAACTTTTGCCTTCTAAAGGCAAAACCATCAAACCAAGCTCCCTACAGGAATGCTGTTGTTGTGGGCAGTGCATCTTGTGCCTCCCACTAAGTTCCAAAGCATCTGGGACAGTCTTTTCATGGCTGTGGATGCCATCCTGCTCCAGAGTTTCTCTCCTAGGTTTCCATCCTGCTGGCCTGCCAGTTCAGTGGGGCTCCCTCCAAAAGCATGGTGTGCTCTGGAAAGGGCATCACTCCCACCCAAACAGATGGGTCTCAGAGGGACTCATGGCAGCACAGAGGACACTCCTGGTGCCCAGAAACACAGGAAGTCACACACAAGGGCAGATTTTGCAAGGATTTGGAAATTCTCATTCTTACTGAGGTTTCTCATGTTCCTCTTCTTTTACAAGCAGTGTGTCTTCTTTCTTGTCACCAGGTCAGCATTCCCCCTTTTCGTGTGTAAAATGACACAGGTTTTGGACCAAGGAGGACACACCAACATACTCCCTAACAAGCTTTGGGGCCTGTCAGGAGCTCAGTTAGGATCCTCTGCTCAGGCACTCCCCAGCCCTTCAAAATCCTAAATTAGATATTAGGAATAAATTCTTTACTGCAAGGGTGATGAGGCACTGGCACAGGTTGCCCGGATGATCCAGGCTGTGGATGCCCCTTTCCTGGCAGTGTTCAAGGCCAGGTTGGATCCTGGTCTATCGGAAGGTGTTCCTGCCCATGGCAGGATGTTGGACTGGACGATCTTTCGAGGTCCTTCCAGCACAAAGCTCTCTGTGTTTCCATGCAGCCTCACTCCGGAGCTGTGCCGGGACACCCGGCGGGGCCGGCGGCTGCGGCAGCGGCTCCGCTGTCCCTCCCAGCTCCTCGTCCTGAGCCAATGCCGCCATCTAGTGCACTGTGCGGCGGGATTCCCTGCTGATGAAACACCTCCAGCTGCACGTCAGAACAATTACTGTCACCAGCCTCTCCCCCCTTGCTTTTGCCAAGGCCAGTCATAGCGAGATCATAAGCACTATGCATCCCATATAGGTCCCTAAAAACTCCCCCAGCCACCCCCCTCCTGCCTGTTGTATTTCTCACGTATCCTTAACGTGGGACTGGTTTTGGCTAGGCTTGCTTTAGCCTCTGCCACTTTTGGTGACACACTTCTGCAGGCAGTGGTTCTTTATTCCTCTGTCCAGTGCCCTCCAAGCAGTCCCTGATTTCCCAGCACACCTGCCTAGTCTTTCTCC